TTTTCTTAACTTGAGAAGTTTTTCAAGGAAACGAGTTTCTCACTGAATTCGGGCAGGAATTTAATGCTTTTCCTTTTATTATTTTCTAGGTTTAATAACTTTACATTATCAACATAATAGAGGTCAACATATAAGCTATTAACATTATGTATATAGTTTCACTGGACTTAAAAACCTAGGGCTCAGAAGCATTAATATAAACCACATTATTTCTATTTTACAACTATTTTTATTCTATTCAAAATGGTTTTCTGCACTTTCTTTTCATTTTTTTTTATTTTATGCATTATCCTTTTAATTTTTGTTATAATTTATGTTCTTATTCACTTTTATGCTTCCTCTTTCGTGTGGTATTCTCTTCGTCTTACCATACTGAATTAATTTTGTAATTTTTTCAGATTCTTTTTTAACCCCTAAGTAACGTATGTACTGTAATTGATTTTATAAGGGTTGTTATAATTATTTACGTTGATTTTACACAATTTTTACGTCGACTGCACATTGTAGTTCTGAATCTTTGACGACTGAATTTATTATTATTTGAAATACGAAAATTTGCTATTTTGCATAACTGGGGATGATCTACACGTCGTATTTATAGGCAGCCCTCCAATACTTTCGGTAATGCCAAAAGTTCAACTTTGTTCTAGTATACTTGTAAACATAAAATTTTCTGTTTTAGTGGAACAAGTGAGCAGACCAGTGAATAGTGTAGTAGTATCTGGGGTCTCCTCATAAAGGACGACAACTAAACCTTTTCAGCTATCTTTTTATCTGTATTGAAAGTATGTATTTTGCTCAATTTTTCAGCTAGTTAGTATGCAAGTTTTTTAAGTTCTCGTTGAGTAGGAGCAAATCCAACACGTTCCAGCAACTTCTTTACATGATTCACTAATTCAAGGTCAGCATCTCTACCCAATTGTGAATCTGGACCCAATGCATGCTCTGAAAAATCATTTTTCTGTATTCTGTATCTTGTTGTAGATTTGGGAACAGAAAACGTCCTGCTTGCTGCACGAACAGAATCATTTTCATCGTTAATTGCAGATAGAGCTCAAAGTAGATCATCTTTTCTCCACAAACATTTGTTTGATTTTCGAGTATAGAAGTTTGGCATTTTGACTCTAAAACAAAAAATAAAACGATTAATGGGCAGATTTGGCTTTTAACTTAATCATGCTTTTTTATTTAAACCCCAAACTCTCTTTTTATCCTTTTAGGTGAATATTTGTGCAATGACTTCTACAAAAAAATGCGCGAAGTATCCTAAATAGGCAAGAGAGATTGCGCACCGCCATTTTGAGTCATGAATGTTATAAAAATACTTTTCAATAGCTAGGATAAGTTTATGTATATAAACAATACATAATAAAAATGTAATGCTAGTCCTAAATTTGATAAAAGTCTTTGCTACAAAAATATTATACGCAGTTACAATGAGAATTCAATGACTTACGTATTAAAAAATTCCACTAAAGGTGCATTCACTCTACGTAAACTATTCTCATCGACGGATGAATTCACAATACATACCCCCTAGTAAGGTAAGTGCCGTAGTAAAAGTGGGGAGAGAGTTTTTACCGCCATTGCGGACGGGCCGAAAATAACAGTTGGCGGCAATTTCAAAACGTAAGGTACTGAATTTTTGGCGGCAAAATTCAAAAAGTATGTTTTGAATTGGAAATAAAGATAATCATAAAATAACAAATAAAAACTTATTTTATGCCAAAAATATATTCTCTCTGTCCTAAAATGTAGTACAGATAAATTTTTATATATAAATGTATAACCATCAGATAGAGGGAATGTACATTTTGGTACAAAATAAGTTTTTATTTATTACTTTAGGACTATCTGTTTTCCATTAAAACACCAAAGTTCTTCTGAAAACAACAAAATAAAACACAGATAATCTTAAAAATCAATTTATTTCTGTAATTTACTTTGTTAAATTTAAGGAATAAAATATGCATGGAATTACAGAAGTATATAATAAATCTTAAGTCATCACTGCTGTTGTAGTCTTCGCCTGTATTTCTGTGCAGGGATCCATACGAACCCCACGAAACTGAGTGGCATTCTGAATTTAGCCATCCATTCACTCTGACCTGCAAAGTGATAAATAGAATTATTCACAAGCAAGCAAGCAAAAGAAGTGACTTGCATACCCAGATGGTCATTTGGGCATACAATTCATTGGGGTGAGAGAGATTGGTCTGAGTAAATCAGGGACCACTCCTTTGAGCTCCAATGTTACCCAGAGTTCCTCTACCCCCATCCCCATAGCACACTGATGTGCCATGGGAGGCTAAGTTCGTTAAAATGATTGCCATATGAAAGTTCCAGGTACAACAGCCCTCATATGAAATATTTAATGAATAATGCAGAGAGAACTTTTGCTTGCTTGGGTACCGATTCACTGCTCTAGGCTTAACCCAGTTCAGTGACTCAGTGCAATTATCTGTGTGTGTGTGTGTGTGTGTGTGTGTGTGTGTGTGTGTGTGTGTGTGTGTGTGTGTGTTAGAGCTTTAATGTATATTATATACAAATAAATAAATAAAAGTAAATATGCAACTATGCAATAAAAGTAAAATATATATTATTAAAATACAGGATTAGCACCATTACAAAGAAAAAATATATGTTAACATATAGTGTAAAAATCAATTTCTTAATTGCTTACAAACTAAGTGAAATTAAAAACTTAATTATAAATTAAACAAAATATTAATTACATATATATGAAACCCAATATATGGGCAAATCCCGATTATTTTTCATTAAAAAAAAAACCTTTCTTGATTTTCAAAAGCTCACCTTTTAAACGGGTTTTATTACTTATACTATTACATAAAAATGGGGGAAAACCGCGTGTGATAAAATTTAAGGAAATGCTTAATGCTGTAGAAAAAAATGCATAAATTTATTGAAAAAAAAAAATCAAAACCTCAACAAATACAATAAATTTCATATTTTTCAGCATTTAAATTAACGATTTAGTTTTTTGGGATATTGTTGTGTAACACAAATACTAATGATCACGCCAACTTTCTAAGGTATGCATATGATATCCATAGTGTAATTAAAAAAAAGTAAAGTGGTAACTTAAAGTAAACAATGGTACCTAGCGTTTATTTTTGGGGGCACAGACTTCTATGAACAAATTTTTTTTTCAACAAAGAATAAAATGCCGTTTACAAAAGTTCTACATCACAAACGCTGAAAAATTTATAGAGGGAAAACTTACAAATTTTAAAAATGATAAAATGTTAGCTACACTTATTATTTTTATTATAAGTCTGTTATCCTTACTGGCACACCTTCTATACTTATATGTTACAATCATCTATATAAAAAGCAACTTCAGCAAAAATTTCAGAACGATCTGTTGAATGCTGAATAAGTTATATAGAGAAATGTAACTTATTCTTTAAAATACATGCAGTAAATTTCGCATTATTTATTGAAATTACCAATTCTTCCGTCTTACAAACTATTTATTTATTCTATAAAATAGTCTAAGGACATTCTAATTTACTGGAAAATAGTATATTTATTTAAAGCAACTTCTAAAATTATTTGGAAGTTATCTGAAGGATAATATGTTGAGGAATCTATGAAGTTAAAAATAATGGGGATTTGTCCATATCTGTCTTATGATACATTTGGCATATGAATTATATAATAAAAAATATGAAATTATGTACAATAAAAGTAAGTAAAATATGCAACTATCTACTACAAGGAGACAATATTCCTCCCAAAACTATTCACCATTGCTATGAAGGCATTTTAAAGAAATTAGAACAGAACAAGGATATAAACATCAACAGATCATACTTAAACCATGTGAGATTTGCAGATTATATAGTTTTAATAGCAGTTAATGCATTGATACAGGATGAAAATGGTAAGGTAATATTCGAAGTAGTGGACAAACTTAAAGAATGGGAAAATTACGTCACGAACCTATTCGAAGACGATAGAAGTAGTTCACCTCCCGATATTACTAACTGCGACGGACCCCTAATAACACACTCTAAGGTTATAAAAGCCATACAATCATCAAAAGATGGCAGAGCGACTGGTCCTGATGAAATTCCAACTGAAATATATAAGGTCTGGATCTTAACATAAGGAAAACCAAAATACTCGTAATAAGTAAACAACAGAATATAAAACCGTCTATATGTGTAAATAATACCAAACTTGAGCAAGTTGATAAAATCGTCTACCTTGGACAGCAATTAAATTGTAACTCAGAAAATCACGGCGAAATTAGATCCAGGATAGAACAGGCTAGAGCTGCTTTTAGAAGGATGTAAAAGGTGTTATGTAACAGAGACCTAAAATTGGCATTAAGGATCGCCTACTTCGCTGCTACATATTCTCGGTCGCTTTATGGTGTCGAGTCCTGGACTGTGAATAAAATCTATCTAAATCGCCTTGAGGCTTTCGAAATGTGGTGCTATAGAAGAATTTTAAAAGTTTCCTGGGTGGAGAAGATTCGTAACTCCACAATACTAGAATGTCTCAGCAAGACTACTGCGATCATAAAAGCATCAAGCAGAGAAAGCTGGAGTATTTCGGACATGTAATGAGAGGTCCCAAATATAGGTTGCTACAAAATATCATGCAAGGAAAAATAGCAGGCAAACGCAGTCCAGAACGAAAAAGTTCTGGATTGAAGAACTTGCGAGATTGGTATGGTGTTAATACAAGCATGCTATTTAGGGTGGCAGTGAATAAAATTAAAATAGCTATGATGGTAACTAACATTCTGAAAGGACATGGTACATGAAGAAAGAAGAGAATGTCCAAGAACTAAATAAGATGTTATTAAAATTAAATGAAATTTCGAGAATTGCAGCCTTAAAAATAAACTACAATAAAATAAAAATAATGAGCCAGGATCAGGCAAATGTTATGTATACCTGGGCAATGTCAATTCAAAATTTATGGAAGAGAACTCATTTGTCCAGTTTTACATTGGAAATAATTTAACATTTACATTTATGACCTGTACTTAAAAATTGTTTTCTCCTACTTTCATATTTTCTATAAGCAACTAATTTTATGGGATCTATCCTAGTACATTCTGGCTTAGTTTTTAGGAAGTTAATAAATTTCTGGTCTCTGCCATTTACAATGGCATTTACACTTCTACACCATATATATAGAGAAAGTCTCACAATAAATTTACATATATTTATTCCAGTATCTGAATGAGATCTACAGTTGAATGTTGAAAAATTTAAAAAATTATTTAATTCTTTATTCAATATGAAGTGTAAAGGTTGTAAATGACAGACCCTTGGAATTAAGTAAAACAATTTAGCAAGGGCCTCAGATACAATATATGTTAAAAAAATTCCAGGCACTGTTAAATTTGACATATTATATTTCCTGGCTTCAATAAATTCTGTATCCCCATCTTTTTCTCTAAATAACATATTGTATTTACATAACTCACATGAAACCTTCTTCAATACTTTTTTCGCTACATATCCTGCAACATAGGTTACAGTACACCTTCCCACCCTAGTTCGTTTAACATTTGAAACTGACAGAGGAAGTGAAATATTCACTTCAGATGCCAGAGGTGTACAACCTGGTAATACCTCACCTGTTAAAAAAAAGCGTAAGGTATCTAATGCTCCCTCACTAAGATCATTCTCACAATTGCTTTCAGGTGAATGAAAGGACATAAAATTATTTATAATCAAAGCTTTGAAGGTGGTTATAGCATCTGACACACTTACTGAACGCTCTGTAACTCTATAACTTCTGATTAGACCAAAAAAATTTTCTAATATATCTTGCTGAAATGCTCGTAACAGCAAGTAATTATTACTGTTTTTTAATAATCTTTTCTTTAAATATATGAATCCACGAATGGTAAAAATCAAATTTTTTAATGAAGGTACAGACACAAATTTCTGTTTCCTTCTATCAAAAAATTTCATTTTGTTTAAAGAAGTTAAAGAGTTTTTCCAGAATTGTTCATGGTTGGATGTCAATGTAACACCACCTTTCAAAGGTTTGCTTATAGGAGCAGTTTTCTGACTTGAATTTAACGAATCAAACAGTTCATCTAAAAATAAAATCATACGGCCTGTATCTGCCACTTCACTTGCCAGGTTTACTTCAGCTTCTGAAATGAAATGTATAAATAAATAAATACATAAAAATAATATCATAATACTTACTCCACTCTACAAGTTTCACCATCAAACTTCCAACTTGGTGACTGAACACTTGCATGCAGTTCTTCACCTTCATCTTTTTGATTTTGCCACTCAATACATGCTCATCCGTCAATTTTGGGCAAATTCTTATGGCAATTCTCTAAAGCATCTAGATGATAAAACTGCTCTATGTGGTCCCATTTAGCTATACCTTTCTGTCCATCAAGTTCAAAGTGTAAATTTTTATTGAGAAGATTGTTTCTCAAGCCTTTGAATAAGTGTGGTGTATCAAAAAGGGGAACAATTTCTTTGCAATTAACAAGGAATCCAAAATATGTATATTCCTGTCCTAATCTCAAAAATTCCGCCTTGGAGTCTTGAATTAATGAGTTAACTGCTGCAGCATTTGGGCCTCCTTGATCACACACTGTGGCTACAACTGTTAACACAATATTCTGCAATTCATTAATTATATTAATAATCATTTTTTTTAATCTTTGACTTTTAGTGGCCCTATCACTAAACGTATAGCATATTGGTTGCTTCCACTGTCTATATATCCCTTTAATCATAAAAACATTTAAATAGTTGGCAAAATTTGGAAACCTTTCAAGACCGTAATCTTCTAAACCCTCAATTTTGTCTTCTTTTTGTTATATTGAAGATTTGTAGACAAAAACATCTCATCGAACATCAATATGCAGTTGCGGTCCTTTGGGTCATTTTTTTGATACTCTTACATAACATTTTAAATAATATATCATTAATTCCAGGATTTAAATTTACTTTATTTAATAAGTTGGTCAAAGTTCTTTTTGATGGTAAAGAAAAAATTTTTGATAGCAATTTATATCCTTTCCCACTGCCTTTAAATAGCGTTAGGGCCAGGACCTTTTCTTCTATTGTGAAATTTTCTTCCCTTCACTTTTTGGTGCTGTGTGCGGATTTGTGATAATATAAATGTGTATGTCAAAGGATTGACTTGTTTCGCCAGTTTTCTAAATGGTGCAGATTTTGATAAAGATTTAGCTGCATCTAACTTTGCTTGGTAACTAGATATTCTATGTAACAACTTATGAATTTTGTTACTAGTTTCTATTATTTTGGCATACATTTTCTTTTTTTTTTGGGTCAAGTACTGTTTTCTTGACACATTTATAGTTTGTAAAATACTTCTCCTTGGCTCTCTGGCTTGGCTAGGTGTGTGAAAATCTAGAATAAAGGATTAATTAATATGATAATGTAATAATATTACAATTAAAAATGCAAAACATTTGTATATATTACCATGTATGTCAAATAATTTTCTTTTAGGAGTTTCTTCTGGCTCTGTTTCACTCTGAAAATCTGAAATTTGAGAATAATTATAATTTACAAAACATAACTAATAAACCTATTAATAGTATTTATTACTAGAATAATAAATGTCTTACCACTAGTATCTCTGCTCATCTGGTTCAGGACGCAAAGCATAATCTAAACAAATAATTGAATATTATTAGAATAAAGAATGTAAGGCGTAATTTTATATATTACCATGGTCAATACACCTCTTTTTAGCTGGAGTTTCTTCAATCTCTGATTCATCATGACAATCTGAAATTAAATACAATTATATGTTTACAAAACATAACTAATAAAATAAATCTATGGATTATTTAGTTACTTAAACAAAAGTACAAGCTGAATATAGCAGAAAATGTCAAACATGGAAAAAATATTTTGGTTTGGCATGTTTCTATAATGTATTGTTGTATGCTTTAAATATAAAGAGAGAAAGCTTTAGAAAAGTTCATTTTGATGATATGATGTTATTAATTCTGCAATTTTTAATTTTTATAAAACAAAAAACTAGTATTCTCCATTCGCTTAGCTAGGGCATATTTTGACAGACTCATTGTCGGAAACCTACAACACAACAATTCCTACTTCTCAGTACTAATAGCTCAAGTATATTACTATTGCAGACTTCTTTCTTTGAAAAAAGAAGAATTATTCTAAATAGTGGAAGTGTATATTAAACTCATCAAATTTTGGGTAGTATATATTTAAAAAATATATTTTAGTTGTTATAATTTGACATAACTATTTATTATATGGTGCAGATAAATAAATATTAATTGCCTGTAATTAGCAAACTTCTATTTTATTTACTATTTAGTTTGTTTACTATTAATATTGGTTATAAGTATGTGTGCTTGGTTATATAGTAATTTCCAGCCACTTTAAGGCTGTCAAAAGTAACTAACTTCGTAAAAAAATAATTACTAAAATCACTAGACAGTTCAGACTGGGAATAGCGAACCAGGTATAGATACTTGTTTCTTTGCCCTGTGATAGATTTGGCAATCATCTAACCACCAGTTGCCAGATTGCAACATGTTTGCAATTAATCTTGAAAGAGACAAATATTTACTTGTTATTATTTTACATAAATTAAAAATTTCAGAATTCATAACATAATATAATCAAAATGTACTTTTTAAAAGCTTTCTCTCTTTATATTTAAAGCATATAACTGAAATATTTTTCCATGGTTTACATTTGCTGCTATATTCAGCTTGAGCTTTCATTAATCACATTTCTAGAATAATAAGTTTCTTACCACTAGCCTCTCTGCTATTTTGATCCTTATTATCAGATATTGAGTTGTCTTGCTGGGATGTAGAAGGCCTAGCATAATCTAAATAATATAATATTGTAATTAATATTGCAGACAATAAGACATATTTTTATATATTACCATGCATGTGAATAGACTGAGTTTCTTCAATATCTCCTTTATCTTGACAATCTGAAATTTAAATACAATTAAAAATTTTTTACAAAACAACTAATATTGAAATAATGCTGAAACATTACATATTGTAACTAAAAGAATTCTATCAGGTTTGTTGCAAAAAGTGCCAATATTACTCATGCATGACTTGAGGAAGTACATACTCATTTGTGGTATAGTACAGAACAATCATTTATGAATATAGCATTTTCTGTAGGTCTTCAACTTTTTACATATCGAAGTATTAGAGATAATGAGATAGTCCTGAAGCTCCTTGATATTGAGTAAAATAATTTGATGATATTGTTTGTGAGGCTAGATGTGACTTTATATTTAATATTTAAAAAGAAAAAAACAAAATATTTGCTAGTAGGTACAGTTCTTACCTATTAGTGGTAAAAATAAACTCGGTATAGCCCTTCGTGTAACTCCTCTGTGTCCAACTCTCACTAAATCTTCATCTTTAAAATGTCTAGAGCAAACACGAAAATTGTTGTAAACAGTAAGTGGTGTAGCATTGTTTAATCTTTTCCTCTTAATAACTTTCAACCATTTCGAAAACATGTCCATTTCATTATTCGGATTTGGAAAACGAAATCGACTGCTTGTGAAGTCTTTACAACCAGGAACACAACATTTTTTACCTTTTATTGTATTTTGTTCCATTTCAAAGATGGTAAAACACTATTCTCCCTATTATTTTTACAATTTAAGATGATAAAAACACAAACAAGACTCAATTTGCAATGGCGTCCCAATGTAAATAAAACTCCGCCACCGCACATGCGTTTCCCGCTATGTTATACCCCCACCTAAAGTGACTAGTAGCGCCGTCGCCATTAAGAACGGATGGGCCCATGCAAAACACTATCCCCTCCCGTCCTATTCTACTTACACTACTATTGGGATATGTATTGTGGATGAATTCGACTGAGGCTTGTTTGCCTAACGTACTACCAGAGAGATGACAATATAAGGAGCTCCCTAACTTTCGCGTGATTGGTTGGTGGGTGGGTCCCAATTTAAAAATTGGCGGGTTTCATGTTTATTAAAATGACAATTGAGGTATTGTCTATGTGGGTAAACAATTTGGCAATTTGGCGGTTGTTTGGCCACATTTGGCGCTTAAACATCTATGATTAGGCGGTTTTAATACCAATTTGCCAATAAGCAAGCACACAGAAAATTTCAATTTAAATTTTTCTCATTTATTTTTAAAAATCTGTTAAATTGTTTTAAAAATCTGTTCGTTAGAACACCATATTTAATTACCTAAGACTTTGTTTTAGCAAGCAATTATGGATTCTGTCCCATCTACTTCAACAAGTTGTGAAATTAACTCAGGAGCCTGCCATCTTTGCAGCAAAATATTAAAAAATGTGGAATTACGAAATCGTCATATCAAAAGAATACATAACATAGATATGTCGATTAAGAAAATTAATCACATGATTTGTCCCTTATGTGAACAAGAAACTAATTTCAAAAGCCATGAGAACTTACGAAAACATCTAAAGGAGAACCACCAGGTGAGTATTGAATTAATAACTTTTGAATTTTCTAGTTTACAAGAATATGAGACATGGAAAGACATGCAGAAATTTGAGACAAGTTATAGAATAAATAGAGTTGTTCATAAAAATAAACAGAAGACAATATACTATGACTGTAACAGAAGTAACATCAAAGGTAGGTGCAATACTTTGTTACTTGTAATATTTAAAACTTATACTAAGCTATATTTAGGATATAAGCCCAACTATAAAATTAGGACAGAGAAATCTGGTGGATCAATTAAAATTAAAGGAGTGTGTCCCTCCAGGATGATTTGCAAAGTGAGAGATCAAGGACAAGTTTCAGTCAGTTATTGGAAAACACATGCTGGACATCAAGAGGAATTAAGAACCATGCATCTGTCAAAAGCAGAAGAAAAAATGATTGTAGAGAAGTTAACGTCTGGGGTGCCATTTAGAAGAATTTTAGAAGATTCAAGAAAATCAGAAACACCAGAACTAGAAAGGCTTAGCCTATTGACAAGTTACGATCTCTCAAATTTGTCCAGGAAGTATAATACATACAAGAAACGAGATCAAAATGATATGGTAGCAACAGCTTTAAAGGTTCAGGAATGGAATGCTAACAACAAGAATTATGCTTTCTTATTTAAGCAGGAAGGTAAAGACCAATCATTTTTTTATGCCTACTACAATTATAATTAATCCTATTCCAAATTTGACTTGTGTGAATTGTTGTCACTTGACTCATGTAACAAACCTTACTCTTTGCAGAATCAACAAAATCCCTTTTTATGAAACATTCAATATACATTTTTAAATAATATGTCTCTTAAGATTGTATTTATTGGTTTTTTACATTAAAACTAAGTTTGTAATGGAGGTGCTGATTTATGGGGCAAATTTACTAGTTTTTTATTTTCCTAGACAACCCTTTTTGGTTCTTAGTCTGTTTAAGAATACTTCTCCATTCTGATCCATTTCATACTTTGCTCTTCCAGTTTTTGATTTTTTAAATTTTCATGTCTTGCTTTATTTGTTCCTTATAATATCCAGATCCTGGTATTCCTTTTATAGTTAAAATGTATATCTTCTTATCCATATACAATTTTCTGTTACTGGTTTATATATTATGTGGCTCAACATTTGTCTTTCAGAATTAGCCTATTGGCTTTCTTTACTTTTAGTAAGTGTGCATTATTACCAGACCTTTGTTGTTTAATTAAGCCATGGTAACTCTTATTGGCTATAAATATTCTACCCAATTATTTGTTAACACTAGTATTGCATATAACTAGTTATCCTATATAAAAAATTTTACATTTCAGTGCTTTACTGTCCCATAGTTAGGTGTTGTAATCACTGATTACCTCATGGACGTATAAATGATTACCTGCTGTTTTGCTGCTACCTTTATTTTATTTTAGCTTGATTGGTTTTCAGTTTACTTGTCCATGCAGTTTATTCTATCTGATTAAGTTCCTCTATAATATTTTACATTGTTTTTACTATTATGTTAACATCATTTGCAAAAGCTAGTTGTCTGCCTACTTATTGATTATCATTCCTCATGAATTTACTTTTTCCACATTGCTGCTGCTCCCTTTACATGCTGCTTTTTCTTTCGGTAATTAATTTATATTCTTAGTCAAACCATTAAGTTCTTTGTTTTTTCTGCATGCCTATTACTTCTTTGGATGCATACCTTATGGCATTTTACAGGTTCCCGATTCCTCATTTGTGTTTTCATGCCTTGCATTATTTTATAGTCTGTTGTTGAAGGTTCTTTTGTATTCTTTATTTTTGTTTTCATCTTAGAGCCCTTCTATATGCTACCTTTTCCACAAATCACATATTCTAACATATCATGGGCTCAGTACTATACTAGAAGACTCAAATTTTTGGAATTTTAAGTTATCTTTCTTAAATAACAACTGCTCAAAAATAGGATGAATGATTACCTATTAAAATATACAATAAAATTTCAGTCTCTTACCATTAATTTATCTTTAATTATCTCTTATCTCTAAACTATAAATTAGCAGTAAACTATAAATTTGGTGTTTTATTTTTATTAGGAGAAGACCATGATGTACTTAAAAAAGAAGATTTTGCCTTAGGATTCATGAATTCGGTGATGGAAAACAAATTAAGAGAATTCCCCAGCATAATTTGTATAGATGGTACACACGGCACAAACAAGAGGGGAATGGATTTAACAGTGGTGCTTATTAAAGATGACAGGAATGCAGGATTTCCAGTTGCGTTCTTACTGTCAAACAGATTGGACCAACTAGTTCAAGAGGTTTTTTTAGGTATGTATTATATGAGTAGTGGCAATTTATGACTGGTAAGTAAAAATAATTTTCAAAAACTTTTAGGTGCCCTTAAGAATAGAATGCAGACTTCAATTCATGCGGAACATTTTATGAGTGATGACGATGGAAAATATTATAATGCATGGGTGAAGATTATGGGCAACCAACCAAAAAGGCTTTTATGTACCTGGCACGTCGTGAGAAATTGGAATATTCAGGGGAAGAAGAAGATACAGGATCCAATTTTGAAGAAACAGATGAAAGCTGAGATGAAAAGAATTATTAATGAAACGGATGAAGATCGATTTATGGAGTTGTGTAACAAATATATAATCAAATTACAAGAGGCAAATGAGATAGATTTTTTTAATTATCTGGCAGGGTAAATAAATATATGAAATCATACATTTTAAGTCATCCTTAAGTACATATTTTTTGTAGGTATTACTTTCAGAATGAAGAGAGAATCAAAATGTGGGCCCATTGCTACAGAAGAAATTCAGGAATCAATACAAACATGGCGATAGAATCTTTCAACAACCTCCTGAAGACCAACCACCTTAGAAGAAATGCAGCAGTATCAATCGAAAAGTTGTTGGACACAATAGAAGATCTCGTGGACATAAAAATGTGGAAGAGGATTATCGACATTCAAAGACCAAATGCGAACAATTACCAAGATAGGGTTATAATAAAAGCACACAAATTGGCAGAAAAGATGAAAAACAAAGTGGAGGTTAAGAAAAATGTGAAGGTATATGGTCAATTTCAGGTAAAGTCATTTAGAGATCCTAATAAATTATATAATGTAAATATAAGGCAAGTATGTGAAAATGAATGTAAGACATTGTATTGTAGAGTATGTAAAATTTGTATTCATCGCTACCAGTGTGAGTGTTATGAATATGTGGTGAGGAATACCTTGTGTAAGCATGTGCACTTGGTAAGAATGCATGAGGAGCGTGAGGGAACTAACTCTGTTTTAGATGATGCTGCAAGGTGTTTGGCAGAAACTTCAATTATCAAATCAAAGCATCAGGAGGAAATTAATGAGTTTGTCAGAGGGAAGGTAGAACAGACAAATGTGATCCAGGAAAACACCAAACGATGTCTTCAAAAAGAAAACTTAAAAAATGTCATGGACAGCTTAGATGACTTAGATGATAAAATTTATACACAAGCACATGACGAAATTATGAGAACTGTTCAAGGAGCAAAGCGTAAGATGAAGGAAAAATATCAGGAAACCACTAAGGATATTACAAAGAAGCGAAAAATGGAAAAGCAGGAATATTTTCCTTCCAATAAAAAAAGAAACTGATTAAAAATTAAATTTGAAACATTCTTGTAGCTCACGTGTATTTTGTGTTTGTTTATCTGTATTGAACTTTTATTATAGTTTTATAGGCTTATTTACAAGAAAGTTAGTTAATTTTACATTATTATATGTTTACTTGATTAGTAATATATGTAGCAAAATTTCATAAAATATATGTATAAATGGTTGGTTTAGGCCTGAATTTTAAAGTCGTGTTAAGTAATGTATTTGTAGACTTTTATATTAGAATTTTATTTTTAAATCGGGATGTACTGGGCCCTAGGCGAGGTTTAGAGGGGTTTTCCTTCGCCATTGCACCAATAAAGGCCTCCCCCTCCTTTGATTTCCCAGATTTTTAATAAAGAATAAAGACATTTTAAACATAGCTATTTAGTGTTTTATTTGGTTTGCAATAGTTATTTCCAGTAAACTTCTGCTTAATTTTGTTGACAATGATAATTTTTCATAGCACTCAATTCCCAATATTTTATTATCCTACATTTGTGGTGAAATCTATTTAGTGTAAGGTTCTAAAAAATGAAAATGGATAAATGTCAATTTGAATTTATGCAAGGCAGGTCTGCAACAGCAATTTTTGTTATAAGAAAGCTAATGTAAAAGTTTAGAGAACCTCCTTGGTATTAGTAGAAAAGAATATAGTAGTGAAGACAGGTCCTTGAATAAAAGGATTAAAATGAAGTAGACAAAATATTTAGAATATTCTGTTAAATATGGTGTTCCAAGTCCAGATAGAGTAGTTAGCTTGGATAGACAAGAACTCTGAAAAGATGATAATTTTAGGATCGGTATTACCGTTTTATCTATATTTCAATTAAAGGTAAACGAAAGAGGCAAATTGGGTAATGTGTGATAAAAAAGGTACCTACCAAGAAAACTAAAAGGTAAGTTGTATAGGACTGCCTTAAGACCAGCTATGATGTATAGTACTGAATGTAGGACAGTAAAAAGGGATGAACAGAAATTGCATGTTTCTGAAAAACCATAATCTCGTACAAAAAGCGGAGAGGTACTTAGTCCTTGGAATGGAACAGAAAAGTTAAGAGGAAAATAATGAGAGGAGCCGATCCCACATAGAGAAAGCTAAAGATAATAATAATGTTAATGCATGTTCTAGAAATAAAAATAATAAGAGGAACATTTAAAACTTAATAAAAAATTACCTAATCAAAAAAATTAAAACAATATCTAATATAAAAAGCATCACTAGCATATTAAAATAAACACAAGTCAGAATTTAATTTTACCTACATAATCTCAAAAGAAAAAAAATTACATGATATGACTGTAATTACATTACAAATGATAAAACTGTAATAGCCAGCTTAATCCTAAAATCTGAATATCATCCGCTTTGTACCAATACCACAGTATATTGCTAATAAATTCTTTACTGATGGTGCCAATACCTGAATTGTCATTTAATAAACATGAAACCCGCCAATTTTTAAATTGGGACCCGCCCACTAACCAATCACAGCAAACGTAGGTTGTAGTTTTTAGGGTAGTCTAACGGAGAGACGCTACGCTAGTCATACAAGGCTGCCAGGTCTAGGGATTTATCCCGAATCTAGGGATATTTCAGTATAAAAGGGACAAAGGGATTTTTTTGATATTTAGTGTAAAATCTAGGGATTTTTGACCGGCTCAAATATTTACCCACATAGGCCTATTATAATAACATTTTCTTTAATTCAGGTATAAAACCACTTCGTATTAACAGTATTAAATACACGATCTTTCATTACAACTAATTAAACTAACAGTAAACTACTTAAAGATTCTATTATCAGATGTCGCTAACTGTCCACGTTCTTGGAATCTTTATTTTATGCTACCAAATAGATTTCTGTCAAAAGTAGATTCCTATATATTTTCAGAAAGAAGCAAATTCTGGAGCTGGAATTAGGGGATTTACAAAAGTCCTAGCTTTTATAAAATAAATAATTAGGGGATTTACAGTAGGAATCGGGTGATTTACAGGATTCGTGAAAATCAATAAATAAAATTCTATGCTTCACCGTTTCATTTCTCTTCAAGTTGTATTTTGTATTAATTTTATTAAGTAAATATGTAAAGAATACGTACGTTATTCCGTTTTTGTTAAATTTATTCAAATGATCGCTATTGTACTGTTTATGAAATAAAGGTATAAAACAACAATTTTTTTATATCAATGTTATTATATTAGGCAACTATCAATACATCCCATAATTTTATTCAGAAATAGGCAACCATATATACATTTATTCCAATCTAGGGATTTCTAGGGATATTTAAATGTTCAATTTAGGGAGGACAAAAATTTTCACCTGGCAACCCTGTAGTCATAGACGCCAGACGCATCAAGATCATAGATAAAGAATATATATTACCGGATCAAGATCAAGAGACAAAATGATATGAAGAAGAAACGTCTAGCTAGACTAGAACAGACATTGGACATTGCATGAAACCAAAATCAGGAAATATAACCTTTAGCTTTAGAACTTACTTGTCTCCACTGAATTTTCTTTATGTAGTTCATCCTTCAATTCTCCAAGATCTATTTCTGTAGATAATAGAATCACCAATCGTTTTTCACATTCTATAATCTCATCCTTAACTTCGGTTTTAGCCTCCATAACTATTATTGAAATAGTTAGATTTACTCACTTTACTATTTACAAATTACAAAATTTCAATCAACAACACCTACTTTGATGGAACTATATATATTGTATATTGTATTATGCTATTACAATTATTACAGCAGCGTCCACACTCCACAGCTTAAAATTAAAAAGAATTAGTGTAAGCACTTAGTAGGTTAGGTTAAGTTCACTCTGTGTATTCTGCCGCCAGTCCTTTGTTCTTCTGGTCAGAGAACATATTCGTAGTTCTCTGCTTCTGGTGTTCATGCCATGTGGTTCTTCTTCATGTTGCATTTTTTTCAAGCGCATTTGTTCCACGCGCAGTTAAATTCCAGTTTTTGTTACACTGCTCAATATAATTTTTAATACACTGCTCGAAAATAAATGGGAAAACTGTGACTTGTGGAGACCTAAAATTTAATTTGATTTTCGGAATATTGAATACTTTCCTAAATTTAGCGTTTTCTACAATTATCAATAGTTTCCCAAATAATTACTACTGATTGTCCTTCAAAATGTATTATGTTGAATCCAACAGATTCGATTAATCGAATATTTAATTTTTTGTATTCAATGGAAAATCACGCTGCATTCACTGTTACTGGTGAGAAATCTCATAAAACAAACAACTAATTTCGAAATAGCTAATAAGGAAACTAATTTCTATGGATGAAAAAATAATAATCCATTTAAATGTGAATGTGAATACAAGTTAGAATAGAATATATATATATATATATATATATATATTATATATATATATAATATATATATATATATATATACATATATATATATATACATATATATATATATATATATATATATATATATATATATATATATATATTTCCACAAACACAACTTATTAATAAAAAATTATT